GGAGTGAGAGGGAGGGAGGGAGAGGGGGGAGAGAGGGAAAGAGAGAGAGGGACAGAGAGAGAAACAAAGAGAGCGGGAGATAGGGGGAAGGGAGAGGGAGAGAGAGAGGGAGGGAGGGAGAGAGGGAGGGAGAGAGCTTTATTCACAAATACACTTAGAACAGTTTACAGTTGTCACAAATACGCAGGTAGCTAAGTCTATGTACCTGAATTGAGTGTGACATAACACAGAAACAATCAATTATACATTACAACAATAGAATCATCTTAAATATATATACTAAGTATATATTTACATGTGTAAGACTCTTGTTACCTGCTGCCAACTCCACGGTAGACTACTCCCTCGGTCTCCGCTCATTTTTTTTCGACGAAGAACGCCTTAAATTCGCTTCTAAACGACTCTGTAGATGTACAAGGATGTCATCTAACTGAAGACGCTTGGATCTGGAGCCTTGCAGTCCGACATAGTTCTGGCGTCTGCATTTTCTGGCAGGGACGCACTTGTAACACTTGTTTACCAACAAACCGCCGCCATTTTGTTTAGAACTTCCGTACGTGACCGCGCAGAAGCGCCCTCAAGCGAGATATACCCAAACTGCAGGAATGAATGCCAAGCTGTACGCTGGACAATGGAAAGCATTCTTTTATTCTGTTCTTCCTTCCCCGTCTTTCTTGCGTACTATCTTACTGCTTTATACATTTCTTCCTGTTTTCTTTCTTTCTATATTGCCCCTGCATTTAATTTGCGTTTTAGGCAGACAATATTAATTGCTATTTGTCGATGCAAGGACATTATACTGTGTATAATGTCACCTTGGTCGATGGAAGCGAAAATCAGGATAATCAAAATAAAATCTACACATTTGGACTTATTAAATGATAGACGGAAGAGAAAGAAGAAAGAAATTTGAAGACAAATCTGCATTTAAATCGACTCGTAGTTCTAAGAAATGTACAGAATATCGGTTCCAGATGCTAAGTAGACCACAGCCTCGTTTTGGTGCCTCGGCCAGACGAAAGTCAACACTGCCACGTCGCTTGGTCCGGGCAAGAGACACTGGAACAAAAATCACCGTGGCGCTGCAAAATATCTGGTAAGTTTGCACATCTAGATCGACTTTTGGACGGCTGATGCAATGTCGAACTTTGTCTAAAACTCGCGTGCCCATAGATTGGTGAAATAGTTGGCAAAGACTAGCTTTTAATATTGACATACTCTTAGGCATGTCAACTGAACTGGCTGACAAAAATATCGATAGAACGATAGATAATTTTGTTACTAGGGTAAAGGGTATGGTGGGTCGGAAATGATAACATTTCATCATCAGGAAAATATCTAACGTTGTATAATTTCAGAGACAAAAAAAAATTTAATTGCAATGAATTACAGTGTGCGAAACGGGCCCGTTGGGAATTTAGACTAGTCTGTGCGAAAGGAATTGTGGGTAGCTTTAAAAGTTGCACAGAGTGGATAAATTGGAATTTATTTTTGGTCGTCGATGCAGATTTATAATGCTGTCTCAGTCTGGCAAACAGACGTTATGTAAATAAGCTACTAGCAACGTCAAGGCGGGAGGGAGTGATGAGGGCCTGCATGGGGGGCTACTGATTACGAATTACGCAAAAAATTTCCGCCGCCGATTACGAATTACGTTATTAAGTCTCAGTGCTAATTACGACTTAACACTTTGCGGCCAATGTACTATTACGAATTACGTTGGTTTTTGGGGGAGGCTGCGTACGGATACGAAGATTAAAAGGGCATGCAGTCCCCCAGTGATTGACATAACTAGACCAAGGTCGAGAACACTTTCACGTGCAGGGGGGTTACTACAAGTCAACCAGACAGACGTGTGATTATATATAGCCTGGATGTCCGGCGACATTAGGGAGCGGGCGAAAACTACGGAGGATGGCACCTATAAGCTAGTAGTGTGAGTAAAGACTGAATAAACAGTAGAAATTCGCCATCAAAGCGTAACTACTAGTAATTAATTTGTAACAGGATTGGGAGTTAGCTTAATTAGATACATTTGCATTCAGGACTCCGAGAGTCGTCTACTACTATGTGATCATGTAAGAAAGATTAAGTTTTAACATATGCAGAAACCTGAAATGAGTCTATATACATTATAGTTGCCAGTTGTATCCTCTTCCCTAGCTGCAAACTGTACTCCTTTAGCGGACCAACTCCCCTATGGCATGCCTATATCTGTCATTTGGCTCTACTCTCTCTAGCCGCTTCCCGACGCCTGGTAGAGGCTATTAAATGTAGTTGCATCATCCGCTGTCTTGGTCTACTCTTGTCTATACATGACTCATATCAAAGGTTATTACATTTCAAAAACGCATAGAATAGACATTCTCTTTCGGCTGACGGATAGGGAGAGTTATTCACCCCATTTTAGCTAATTTTTATAATTAGATTCGTTCTCTGAGTCAGAAAATCGTTCCAGACATGAAAGAATTCCGTACAGTCTACCACATGTACAGGAAGCGTAGCCTCTACCAGGCTTCGGGAGGCGGCTGGAAAGAGTAGAAATCTGCCAAATAGAGAGATAACATGCCTGGGGAGTTTGTCTGCTGGGAGAGAACATTTTGCCGCACCCGAGCAAAGTCCCCTGGCATGTTATCTCTCTATTTGGCCGATTTCTACTCTTTCCAGCCGCCTCCCGAAGCCTGGTAGAGGCTACAGGAAGCAAGCCCCCGTGTCTCCTATGTATTGTTCTCCTTCTTGGCATTGTTTGCCACATTCAGCGAAACCTGATACAGGTGGTTAGCTACATTTCTATGTCGTCATGGAAAGCTACAGCCCATGTGTGCACGTGGCGGCCCCGCCCTACCCACGGTTCGATCGAACCATGATCGAACGTGCACTTGACACATGGTCCATGAATGTAGCAAGTTATTCCAAACCCTCTCGTCCAAAAATACTTCTAAAAATGTAACCATATTTAATCAAGCTCCATTACAAGCAATGGATACATCGCAATGTAGCAAAGGCTTTTCGATATAAATACATGAAGCGTTTCCATTGTCTGTGACCCCATATAAGGACATGTCATCTGATACAGGTGACTTTTTCTTTATGCCGTCATGGAAAAGTACAGGCTTTCCAGACAGCACGTGGACACGTGAAACCTGGCCCACTATTATATATACGCACTCGGGTGTACTTAACTTTGAGGGCTAGTCAGAACTGTCTCACAACTGCAAGACCGACTGAGGAAACAGTCACCAAAAGGTAAAAATAAAATGTCTCTCTCTTTTTTTCTAGCCCAGTTTGTATTGAAAAAAAAAAAACATTGCTAGTATTTTTTCGGTAGCCTCTACCAGGCTTCGGGAGGCGGTTAGAAAGACACTCGTGTGAGCACTGCAAAATGTTCTTTCCCAGCAGACAAACTCCCCTGGCATGTTATCTCTCTATTTGGCCGATTTCTACTCTTTCCAGCCGCCTCCCGAAGCCTGGTAGAGGCTATTCCTAAGGGGTTATGGTAGTAAGATCCAGCAAAAATCAGTAATTGGCCATGCAGGGGGTTTCAAATTTCTCCGTGGGCTTGCAAATGAATTTTCGAACTCCTTGCCGATGGCCAGACTTCCCTGGCAAATTTCTCTTCCTCTTAGCCTGGGTGCCAGACCCATGGCCATGGGACACTGAGTATCTCAGTGAGCACATGAGATACTTTGTGTCCAGTGTGCCATGGGTCTGGCACCCAGGCTATCTTCCTCTGTATTCTGGTGGAGACTTGCGATTTTGAATCAAACATGGCTAAAAGAGAGAGTGTATTCAACGATCTTAACTATAGGGCGGTGTTTTAACATGTGACATGGCTAAGTAAAATAACAATAAAATGAAAGAGAATAAAAGACAAGAGTGTTTAACCAAGGACGTTCTACAAAACGTCCTTGATTTAACGATCATAAATATAGTGCGGTGTTTTTAACATGCATGCGACATGGCTAAATAAAATAATAATAAAATAATGATAAAATTGAATAAAATAAAAGAGAGAGTGTATTCAACCAAGGACGTCCTTGATTTTAAAATCATAATTAGAGGACGGTGTTTTAACATGCGACATGGCTAGACAAAATAATAATAAAAGAATAATAAAATGATAATAAAATAAAGTAAAATAAAAGAGAGAGTGTATTCAACCAAGGACGTCCTTGATTTTAACATCTTAAATAGAGGGTGGCGTTTTTAACGTGCGACATGGCTAGACAAAATAATAATAAAATGAAATAAAATATAAAAGATAAAGTAAAATAAAATAAAAGAGAGAGTGTATTCAACAAAGGACGTCCTTGATTTATAGTCAGAGCGGTGTTTTTAACATGCGACATGGTTAAAAGAGCGATCATGTGTTTTGTATCTGAGCGTGTGAGTTTCTTGTTCCTCTCGTCGGTAGCCAAAGCTATCTTTATAATGGAAAGGAAGAATTTGTCTTTTCTAAGGCATGCTTTTGTCATTTGACCACTGTAGCGTTGCTAGCTATGACGGAATGGAAAATTTTCAGGTGCGCTAGACATTGAGGTAGCAATGAATGAACTTCCCAATGAAAGAAGGACACTGACCAATAAGAGAGCCCTTAACATCGATATCCCTCGTTTCGACCAATCAGATCGTCGCTTGTACAAGGGTAGGTTTATCACCCCATCCAGGTCGTGACTTGCCAACAACCAATCAGGTGGAGTTTAAGAAACAGCGTGGGCTTGTTGCTTGGCAACAGCCAATCGTAAGGCGGGATACGTCAGTGATCACGCACGCGCTGCATGTGAGGTCCCGACCTTGTGGTCGTTAATAATTTTCCACGAGGGGACGGTTTACCGGTTTGTATAAAACCATCCATGCCTTTCAGCGTCCAACCAGTCGACACAGAACCACCCTCAGAGCAACCAGGAGCCAGTCCAACTTTAATGGGAGAAATCTCCGTCAAGAAAGATATTTCCGAGATGTCGCTAGCTTTCGTGGGAGCCGGGAAAATGGCCCAAGCCATGGCGAAGGGGTTCCTTGCGGCAGGTAAGTTGAGCTTTTTCCGCCCGCTAACACGTGTACCTGGCGCCGGCGGCCGCTAGCTACCGTTAAAATAGAAAATTACAGAGCTAGATCGTTCCGAAATGATAGAATCGTGTGTAGATCTGTAGTTTTGTTAGAAAGAATGTTTTATTTGTTATTTTCTGTTTATTTTTCTTACCCGGTTGGCGGTTTTGGTCCCAGACAGCTGATGCAATATCGGATACGGGACGAACCGTTATAGATGGGGAGGGGGTTATGCTTTTTATTTCTAGGGATTCGTAAGGAATATAAATATCTATGTAACAATTTGAATTGTATATACAGTATTCTTTTTCAATTGCCGTTCATGCATATTATGTGCTATGAGAAGTTTTAAATGCGCTTTGTATTTGCTAGTCTATTGTTTCCTGCAAATTTGAGAGATGCCAAAGCGTAAAGTCTGCGTCTGTAGACTTGATATTTATTTTGGCGATCTTCCCATAAATTTTTGGCTTGGTTGTTCCTAAGACATGTTTTGTAAGAGATATTTTGTCCAAAGAGAAATTTGAAGAGAGCCAATTCAATACACTTCACTGTTGAAAAATAATTCAAGGAATGGCTTTTCAAATGGTGTTGCGCTGAAGGGTGGTTATACCGGCTATACAGATACAGATGTTTCTATTTAATATTGGGACCAAATTTAAGTACTGCGTACTGTATAGTATAAAAATGGGACGCATAAAATTCAAATCTAAATGATATGAAACCATTGAAAATAAGCTATGAATGATTTCAATTTTCTACCTTCTTATTTTGTTTTTATTTTGCTTTCTGTCCCCAGGAGTAGTAAAGGCAGACCACATCACAGCTACAGCTCCTTCATGTAGGAGTCAAGATACACTAGAGGTGGGCATTACAATAACTCTCTCTACAATAACTACCTCTGTGTAATATTAAATCTTCTTGTTCTTCAGTAGCCTCCGTAGCAGGCTTATAGAACTGGGGGTTTGGTGGTCTTCGGCTGTTTTCTGATTAGCCCAGTTAAAAAACGGGGGATAATTCAACCAGGTCGGTTATGTTGTCTATATGCAATCAGAAAATAGCACATAAAAGCTCCGAAAGACCCCCAAAACCCCCAGTTTTTCGCATGCTATGGAGGCTACTACTAGTCTGGGTGCCAGTCCCTTTCCTGAGCTTACTCTTACATCATGTCCACGCTCCTCCGCAGCGTCCGCTAGCGCGCTATAATTAAAGCCACATCTGGGCGCGCGGCGGGGTCCCCAGAGCAACACAGTGCGGAAGCATTAGCGTGTATTTGTGTCCTGGGGCCGAGAACGCATTTTGCGCAAAGCATGCTGGGTAGCAGAGTGAACTGTCCTGGGGACGAGAGTTTGTGGCGCGGGCGGATGGAGCGTGGAGAATGCCAAAACTCCCTCCGTGGCTAAGTTCCTTCCGCGACTAACTCCCTTCTGGGCAAATGTAGAGGGATAACGGTACACCCTCATAGCGTCACCAAATGAGGTACTTTGTAAAGGTCCGTTTCATTTGGTATATATTACCATTGTGACAGCATTTTATACCCCAAAATAGGAATCTTGCGTCTTGTTTTAGGTCCCGATAGTAGAAAGAATGCAGTGTACATGTACTAGTATTCAGATGGCCGCCGTGTAACGTTACGTACTAGCGAGCGCGCACGACAATACCGCCAGAGTAGAGTAGGTTATCATAACCCTTTAGAAAGCGCAAAGAAAACAAAAACGACAGATTTGCATTAAAGAAAGTTTATTTTCCATAGCCTGGGCTAAGCCACGATCTATAACCTATGGCTTCTCCACGGGCGCTGGGGACGAGCGTGCATCATGTCAGAAAAATATCAATTTAAAATCAACTTGCAATTTGCAAACTTTAGAAGAATCTGTGCTAGTCAAACGTGTTTGAATTGGAAACAGAGGTTTTTGTACCCTGGCCGGTATTTCTGATGCAATTTCTGATGCAATACAAAATATCAACTTGCTATTTGTAAACTTAAGAAGAATCCGTGCTAGTCAAACTTGTTTGAATTGGAAACAGAAGAATTTTGTACCCTGGCCGGTATTTCTGATGCAATTTCTGACGCAATACGGTTCAATAAGTAAGCGCAAGTGGCATGTTGTTATATGCACTACTGTGTGTCAGTGTGTGTACTGTATACACATTCTACAGTACAGTGCATCCGGTTTAATCATTGGACAAACTGGAGATCTCACCTACCGGTATACTATAGCAAAAGGCACTGGTGCCCAATTGATGTATATCTACTATGCCACGTTGTACAACAGAGATTTTAATCTTCATTTTACACAAAAAAATGTCTTGTCCAGTTACTAGTAAGTGGTCTTTTTTTGTATAATTCAGTAACTTTGGGAGAGCGGAACATTTTTTGCATGGAAAATCTTTACCGAAGGCATATAGTATATGAGGAATGATGAAATTACTAGAAAAGACATTTTTGACTGATGAATTAAAAAGGTAACAACATCGATTCGTCTCATAATACTTCCGAAGCTACAAAGAAAAGAGCACATGTACCTTAGGGCGTTGGGTGGGTCTATTAGTACATACAATATGTTCGACGACAATTTTTTTTTTCTTCTTCAGTTCAAAGAAATTATCTACCTGGAAGAAATTGAGTGACGCATTTGTGTAACATTTACGACTGAAATTAATATTGCAAAAGGTATTCAAGGACTATTACATGTATGACACAGCATTTCCATTGATTGAAACCACATAGCTCTTGTACACATGGTTAGGTCATGTAATGCCTCCAGGCAATGATGCCCTTAGTAAGGTTACAGGTAGTTCTCTCTCAAGTGGAAGCGATTCAAAGTGTGTGAAGGATACAGCCTCTACCAGGCTTCGGGAGGCGGCTGGAAAGAGTAGAAATTGGCCAAATAGAGAGATAGCATGCCGGGGCAGTTGGTCCACTAGAGAGTACAGTTTGCTGCACTCTAACGGACCAACTTCTCTGGAATGATTTTGGCCAATTTCTAGTCTTTCCAGCCGCCTTCCGAAGCCTGGTAGAGGCTAGGACATTCTATGATAGAACGTCCTTGGTAGAGGCTCTGTAACAATGGAAAGTTACAGCTACATGTATGATGAATAGGTCATGCAAGTCGTTAAGTCGTAAAACTTCTGTCGTAAAAATTTGGACAACGCCTAAATTCTTTAGAGAAAAACTGAAGTGGAAGTATTCTTCTAACGTCCTTGGTGGAAGTGATTCAAAAGCCGTGGTGGAATTTTCCATTCGCACGTTCAGGTGTTTTGCACGTGATCGAAGGGTTTTTGCACGTGATTAGTTCGCATTATTAGCCTGGGTGCCATCCTTGGAAGTTATAGCCTTATTGTTGCTGGTTACCACTTGGTTACGTAGCTAGTGACTATTGGGCGCTGGCGCCGGTAACTACGGAGGATGGCAGCCTACCCTGGATGCCAGACTCGTTTCGGGCCATTAGCCGTTTTCCTTCGGCAGCCAGAAGCCCTTCGCCCGCCCGTCTAAATTACCGCTATGGGGGGAGCGGCCAGGAGCCTAACCTGGGGTAGTTTAAAAAACGGCTACAGTTCTAGGGCCGGTCAAACTCCCCCCAGGCTAGATTATCCCTTAGCGGTAATTTAGATGGGCGGGCGAAGGGGTCTTGGCTGCCGAAGGAAAAAGGCTAGCGGCCTGAAATGCGTCTGGCACCCAGGCTAGGTTCAACTTCTCGTATCGTTGTTTATCTTCAAGCTCGATACATCTTTTTTAAGCTCTATGGAAATGTTACTAAAATACATTACAAAAGAAAGGGGAAAAAAGAAGTTACGTCCCTCTTGTGGGAAATGGAACCTTCCAAGTGGAAAATTCAGAATTTTCAATGACAATGGACACTCCTGGTGGATTCTGGGTATGACTTGCAAATGAGATGTCTTGGACATGATGGAAAATTACCAGGATCGCCACAGAAAGATAGTCTCCACCAGACTCCCTTTGCAGGCTGAATAAATAGTAGAAATCGGCGGAATAAGGGAATTAATTGGCCAGAGGAGTTTCGTAGCCATAGAGGTCCCATTGGACCCTCTATGGCCAGCTACCTTCTCTTGCCAATTAAATCCCCTTTTTAGGCCGATTTCTATGATTTATTCAGCCTGCAAAAGGAGACTGGTGGAGACTAACAGAAAGAGGAGGAGGAAGGGCAGAGCTATAAGCCTATTGTACCGGCCTTCTGTATTGACAGTCTATTGTTTCACCTCTTTGGTGTGAATAAGGAAAGGCGTTCCCCTGGAAATTTTGATCTTAGTGCTTTACATCATTCTAAAGGTCCAAACTGACCTAGTAAGGGGATGGATTAGTGTAGACTATCTGAGACTGGTTGGACTGGAGTGCCATTGTCATAGATAACTGAAGAGATCAGTTGCATAGCAACAGTCGTGTCAGTCAATCTTTGTTGCTTAGTAACAAAATGTCAATGACTATGAGTCTCCAGCTGCAAAAATAAGCCCTCATTTCAAGTCAGTGTCGTCCTCAAGAAAAAGGGAAAGGAACAGAATATATGATCAGTTGCTAAGTAACTTGTCATTGACTCATCGTCATTTTGTATTCAATACCAATAAAAAACGTGGCATGTTAGCCTCCGATAGCTGAAAGACAGTTTTGATATAATTTGCAGGCAGTCTTCACTTTGATCAAGAACGTAGAGAGGATACATATGGTTGATAAAATTACAGAAATGAGCACCTGGACTTACAACAATAAAACATGGTCCATATTTAGCCTCCATAGCATGCCAAAAACTGGGGGTCTTCATGGTCTTTGGGAGCTTTTATGTGCTATTTTCTGATTGCATATAGACAACATAGCCAGCCTGGTTGATTACCCCCGTTAGAAAACAGCCGAAGACCACCAAACCCCCAGTTCTATAGGCCTGCTACGGAGGCTAGTCCATATTGCTATTGTAAATGTATTCAAGAAGTGTTTTGACATAATTATTTGTTCTCTTTATTCCAGGGTATCGGGTGTCAATTCACACACAACAACAAGGAAGCTGTAGCGAATAGTGACATCATCTTTCTGTCGGTGAAGCCGCATGTTTTACCCGGGGTTCTACAGGAGATCGCTCCCGTCGTTACCAAGAGACATCTCATGGTCTCCGTGGCGGCAGGTGTCCCACTGCAGTTCCTAGAAGAGGTGAGAAAACTCTGGTGGGAGAACCAAAAACTTGATTTGGGGGATGATTTTGGGTCTGTTTGAACTTTCTTCTTAAACAAGTTAAAGATGATCCAGTGGCTTATTACAAGTTGTCAAAACCCACTTTTAGCTTTACAGCCGTAAGAAAACAATTGTCATTTTTATGAATCATCTTTTCATGGGAGCATAATATCTTAATTACTTTAGGTGTTGTACATCAAATAAAATGGTCGTTAAAAGGAGGTACCTAAACTTTGCTGTGTTGCCCTTAGTGTTGCTAAAAAGAGATGCTTCAAATCATGGAGCCGTTTGAAAACCCCTTTCAGCAATCCAAAACCTGCTTTTCCATAATTGCTGCTACATATTTCTGTCCTGGATACGCACCACAGTATTATTATATGTGAATTAAGTCGCTGGTAAAGAGAAACGTTTTGTAGATTGACGTCAGTAGGTACATGTTGACATTGACTGATGGCTGGATGGAGCGCTGTTGCATAGCAACACAGGTATCCCACGAATTATCTGCTAGGTTTACAGCGACAGGCATGAATATCAGACACATGGAAACCAGCTACCCCCTTTGAGCTTGTGGGATGAAGAACTGTTGTAGAAAAGAGGAAAATAGTTTCTGCAACCAATCGCTATAAATCATGAAATATTTGCAGTAGTATTATGTTTGCCGACTCTGTAATACTTGTGTAGTACTTTCCCCCTACTGCAAAATTAAGTCCATGTGAACTAAAAGTTAAAACTGATTTACACAATCACACACTCACTCACTGTCCGGTTTATCGTCTGTTGTTCCCCGTCTTCCAAGGGTTATACATACTTGCACTGCAAAACTGAGGCTTGATGCAGCCTGCCACTTGCCTCTATCCTGTGGGTTGATATAGTACAACCAATGTGCAAAAAGTGCTGGAAGGCTATGAAAAAGAACCAATCGGTTCTGGTTTTAATAATTGTTCTTTTCCTCAATTTTTTTTTTCTTTTTCCAGAAACTCCCCCTAAGAGCCATGATTTAGACTCCTGTCTGACCATATATCTGAATGTGTTTGAGTAAGAATGAACAGAGCAGACCATATGCAAAAGGTAAACATTATGCATTTGTTTGCAAATGTTAACATTCTAGTTAACCATTTTTTTAATTCCCTTTTCCTCAGAAACTCCCCCCTAAGAGCCGCGTGATCAGAGTAATGCCGAACACGCCGTGCGTGGTGAGACAGGGCGCGTCCGTGTACGTACCCGGGAGTCACGTGGAGAAGGAGGACTCAGAGATCATCAAGTCTCTCCTGTCCAGTCTGGGGTACTGCAGTGAGAGTAACGAGGGGATGATATCTGCTGTTACTGGGCTGGCCGGGAGCGGGCCTGCGTATGTGAGTATAACGGCTTTCTTGCTATGTTTGGTTTAGGGTTATCTCCAAGCAGATGTTTTGGTGTCCGCAAAAGACAGTATCAAATTTGCCAGGCAGTATCCATTGGCCAGACTGTATCCTGATCCTAATGGACACTCCTCTGGCCAATGGATACTGCCTTGCCACAGTATTATCTGCTTGGAGATTAGTTTTCACTAGGGCACTGTTCTAGCCAGCATCCGTCTTTCAAAATGACAGAAATTTTGCCCAATCTGTCATCTTTCATGGTCTTAATCTTATCTCAACTACAAATACCTGATTTAGTGATTGGTGGTGGAAAGGGACCGGTGGAAATATTTTAAGAAACAGTTTTTCTGTTCAAAAACTGGAAAATAAACTTTGTACTTGTTCATCACATTTCATCATGGTGTGGCAAAGTTTAAGTTTTATCGAGTTTCAAACAGTACTTGGCTGAATTGACCCCTTTGACCGTACCTTGTGACACAATGTGACCTTGACACACTTCATCGACCTTGAACCTCCAGTATTTGTACCCATGTTCATACAGATTCAGAAACGTGGGTTTTGCACGGACGAATATAGAGACCCTGTACATATGGCCATAGGTATGGGTGGGATGGGACACGCGTATGTAAGTACAGCACTGCACTGTTGCCTCCACGGTGTTGGTCTGTAGCCTCTGTAGCAAGCTTATAGAACTGGGGGTTTGGTGGTCTTCGGCTGTTTTCTGATTAGCCCAGTTTTAAAACGGGGGTAATTCAACCAGGCCTGCTATGTTGTCTACATGCAATCAGAAAATAGCACTTAAAAGATCCCAAAGACCCAAACTCCCAGTTTTTGGCATGTTGTGGAGGCTAGTTGGTTTGGTGGTCAAGAACTAAAACTCACATCACAAGTTGTTCGGTGGGACTAAAATGGACATGATGTTTGGTGGAAGGAAATTTACCTTGGTTGGGTATAAAATTGACGTTTCAATGTCTTAAAACCTGTCCTTATTGTCACTGTGTCTAACCTTCGTGTAATGTCTTTAATACATGTACAGTCAGGGGTGGGTGACCTTGGTTTAAGGAGCATTCTTAACTATAACTCGAAAGCCTAAGTGACCTGAAGTTACTTGTGCTGCACACTTCAATACTGCTACTACAAAATGGCACAGTAACCTCTAGCACCGGCCTTTCAGAGAAGAAAATAGTGTAGATTCTGAAATCATTGTAGAATCCATCTGAACTTGATATAAAGCAACGTATTCAAACTAATTATCAATTTGATCTTTTCCCCAAAATATGTCTCCCTTTCATGATAAGTGAGAAAAGAAATTGATACGACCCCACACCGACATGTTCCACATAACTGCCCTAACCAGTTTGAACCAGCCTCTGCCCTGCCCCCTCTATCGACCAATCAGCACCAGCCTCTCTAAAAGGCGGGAATGGGGTTGCCCCAGGATAGAACACATCAGGTCATGCAGAGGCCACAGGTCAAAAGTTGAACACGTTTTACTACACATTTTACAAATTACAAGTCTTTCTTAACTAAAACTTGAGGTTTTCAGCAGATTTTGAGGATATTTTATGGTGAAGGTTTCAAAAGAGTATGTAACTTGTGTGGCTAATTGAGTTGTAAATATTTGTTCTTCTGCGTTGTCACCAAATGAAGCTGAAACACAAAGAAAACACTGCTGTGCTCTTCAGTGGACATCAGAGTCGCATTCCATCAGTTTCATAGTATAAAAATTTCGACAAAAAGACACAAAAGACACAAGGTAGTAAATGAATAAGCCATTTGCATATATTATAGGCATTGTCATCAAGTATTTTTCAAAACTAGAAATACTAAGAATGGTTTCTGATGTTGCTTGGATAAATCGACTGACAATTATACAAGTAGGTTAACGACTATTACAAAGTCGTTATATTGTTTTGCCCCTGTTAACTTATTTGATGATGAAATCGCCAAACATGTTGCATAAGGACAGGCCACACACCCGAATGGGGTTATGAATGAATCTCCCCTATGGACAGATGTTACCACAAATCACAGAATAGAGGGGAGGCCCAGTATGAAGAACAGGGGTTGACTGGTTTGGACTGGTCTGCCCCCCTCCCCCGTTTAACTCTCACCCCGAAGTTATACAAAGAAAACAGACTTTGCAGTTATTTCTTCTCAATCATTAAAGGTTGTTCAAAACCTGTACCTTTGACAAAGGTATAGGTTGATTCAGACCTGGTACAAGCAGCATACAAAGGCTTTGTATCCTGCTTGTACTGGTCAGAATCAAGCTTACTTAACCAGTGACATCTCTAAAGTAAAACGGAATGAAAAATCAAGATAAAAATGTTATCGATATGAAAACCTTTGATAGCTTTCCAAATCATTGAATTTGTAGAGAAACAGCCAAAACAGTTAGGCCCTAGGGTAGCATGCAATGAGTGACATCCAGGCTACTCAGACTCTCTAACCTCCTAGAGCTGTAAACCAACAGGGGTAAATAGATACATCATAGAGGGCCTGCAAGGGGGGGTCCCGACAACGCTCTACGCTGAATTCGGAAACCTCTCGATTACGCTTTACGATAAATTCCAAGTGGCTACAACGCATTACGTAGAATTAAAACGCCGAATACGCTGTACGCAAAATATTAGAGGGGTCCGTCTACGCTCTATGTAGAATTAAAACGGCCGATTACACTCTACGGAAAAGGGTTTGCGGGCCCCCATCATATAGTCTAGTTATTGTATCTAACCAGTGTTTTTTTTCGTCCAATCACAGGCCTTCACAGCCATCGATGCGTTGGCGGACGGAGGGGTGAAGATGGGGTTGCCACGGGAACTGTCAATCAAACTGGCCGCACAAACATTACTGGTAGGTCGGGTATATAGTTTTAAAGTTAAAACTTTTGGTCCAACACAAAAAACTCTCACCTAGAGCTTTCGACCAGTCACTCTGGTCTTCCTCAGTAGACTGATCCAGTGAAACTTGTCACGTGGCTTCTTTGAAGTGTAACGTCAACACTGGGTCAAAGGTATCTGGTAGACGATGTCGGCCCCCGTCACGGTTCAATGAAGGGCTTCCTTCACCCCTAACATGTGAAACATGTAACTAGCAACACAGATGAACTTTCATGACAGGTATATAATATTTAGTAGAGTGGAGTATTATGTAGAGTGGATTCAGTCCTCAAGCTAACCGATATCTAACTGTGACAGGCTGAATAAAAGTTCTAAACGGAAACTATGTGGCTCCAGATGTCTTGCTGAGGAACAACAGGGATTTGATAGACATTGGTTAGCTTGAGGAATGAATCTACTCAGTACTCGCACTGCTCACATATAATGTGGAAGTTCAGTTTGTTGCCTAAAGTAACTTTTGAATTGTAGACAATTTCGCTTTGCAAAATAGTGTGAGTAAAAACACTATTGTAGATGGTACTGTCTTACTCAAAATCGTTTTTTTTCTCTTCTACAGGGTGCGTCCAAAATGGTTCTAGAGACAGGGAAACACCCTATGCAGCTGAAGGATGATGTCTGCTCCCCCGGAGGAACCACCATTTACGCCATCCACAAACTCGAGTCCGGCGGTTTCCGAAACTTACTGATCGACGCGGTCGAAGGGGCGTGTCTACGAGCTGACGCCATCGCCAAAAAGGCGAAATGAATAACGCAAACCGCTTCTTTTCTCACACCACTACTAGAAGAATGAAGTTCTTCTCTGTTCTGTGAATAGTTGAATGTTGAGCTTCATTCTAGTTTGTCGCAGAGTGTCGAAGTGTGTTCTAACTTCTATTGTACGTCACAGCAAAGTGAGCTTGCTATTTTTCTAAGGTTCTGCAATACCGTTGTGATATGCAAGGGGGTGCTCTTGCATAGTAGCAGTAACCGCACATTCCAGAGTTGTGAGGTGAACACACTTGGACAGCCTGTTTTTTGTTGAGTTTTGTCTTACAAAATTTATAGTTACAAAGATGTTTATATCTAGATGTATAACACTGTATGTTACATAGGAGACTGTTTTGTTTTCAAAACCAGAAATTGCTTGGTTAAACACTTCTCCTAGATTCAGGAAGTTAGCACAAGATTATGTACAGCTAAAAAGTGCAGAAATCTGTCAAGTAAGCAGAAAAAATAGTAGGTTTTGTGTAAGTTTTTCCACCACTTATGCACGTTACAAAGTGATACGTGGCAGACATACCCACATTCAGTTCAACATCTTAACATTGTTTGCAGCAGAATTTGAATATTTCTCATCTACAATTTATCCAACAGTTAGGTGGGTCTTTCTGCCCAAAATGTTGGAGAAGAATCTGTAAAAAGCAAAAGACATCTCTGTTGTTGTCTGTCACCATAAGTTTTTGTGGAACGTAGATTTGTAAGGAAAAGTTAAGAAGTGCTCTCTCCACTCCACACATTTATTGAGAAGGATTGGGTGAGAATTGTGGTGTTAGATGTTAAAAGGAATTAAGAGAAGGTTAATTTTTTGATAGGTTTGCGGTAAGGAAGGAAAGTGTACGGCTGGGTGTTAGGTAGGGTTCTTTTTTGGTCTGGAAAAGTTGCGAACTCACAAAAAGAAATAACCAAGACTTTTCATAAGCAGTAGTTTTCACTACTCAAAATTTAAAGCGTCTCATATTTTGTTTTTGCTTCAATTTCTGGTTTTCCATGCAACAAAAAGGCTTAACAAGAAAATGTCTATATTTGTGACCAACTGGATCTAAGACCAAAGAAACATTTAAAGTGTTGCCATGGAAAAAGTAGTTTAACTAAAAATTTTTGGATACATTTTTTTGATAATCATACTCACCCATATGCGTAATAGAGCTACTTTGCTTGAAAAAATTCACCGATAATTTGTACTTAAACTGCAGATTCTGATATTGTTTGGATATCTAACTATTGCCAAACCCAGACTTCAACTGACCCTACCTAATTTTACTATTTTAGACCTTAGTGTATTAGTTTGGAAAGGGACATGTAGATTTTTGTTTACAAAACTCCTGTTTTCAGTTGTCAGAATTTATCTTCAAGATGGTGGGGAGGGGGGTACTAGCAGTTAGCACACTGAAGACCACTTAATTTTGGCTCAATCTTTACAACAATGTGTATATATTTTGGGTAGGGGAAAAACTTGCCATGCAGAAATTCTCAAATTTTGTTTCCATTTCGATCCGGGAAAAATGTTTTGGAGCTTTACTTTATTTATTTATTTATTGTTGCGCTTGATGTTTAGTTAAGTTGGGAGGGGGGTGGGGGGCTCTGGTTAACAGCATAGTTGCTGGAATGGAATGTTAGCTTTAACTTTCAACTTGCTAAGTTAGCTGTTAGACACCGAATTTGTATTAGTTATGGGTTAGGCAGCATGGAGAAGGTTAACATTTAACCTGTCACCTGCTGTAAGTATATCCAAGCACCTCATTTTGTATTAGCTACATCAGAACTTACCCAGAAAAAGAGTTAAGTCACCTATGTAGTTTTTCAATACTGTTGCAATATCGGTCGCTATGTTGTATTCTGTTACTTTGCAATGCATGTTAAGTTTGTAAAAAAACTCAGTGCGATAAAATGCAAGTGCTGAAGAAATTGTCCGCTACATTCTTGCACAGTGTGCAGTATGTAAATATCCCCAGAGACGATATTTTGACTTTGTATACAGTACTTAAAATTGATACTGTCAATTTAACATCCTGTTAATTGTCAACTTTGACCAAATTTCTGCAGTATATCACTGAAAAGTGGAAAGAAATATTTTTTTCGTGCGAACGCATAGTATGTACAGCATGGTTGCAGGGACATTTACATATTTTCTCGTAAAATTTGTATGAATGTTAGACTTAGAGTATGTTATGTTAGGATTTGCAAAGGGGGGGATCTGTACATGTACTAGTTTTGACTGTCCATCATAATTAGAAACCAACCAATGAGAGAAGGGCAATTAGTGGTTCGACCAATGAGAGAGAGCGGCTACATGTCAGTCAAATATTTGTATTTCTACCTTTAAGATGGTTGGGTGGGCTATTGGGATGTGACTATTCCTCAAGCACTGACTTTAAAACCTAAGACTTTGGTACTACCAATGAGGTTTTACTTAAGGCTTCTAGCCTCATTGGTACTGCAGTAAGAGTTTACCTTCTGATAGATGGAAATCTGTGCCTACATGTTGCAATTGAACTACAGTTCATGAGTTACATCAAGTAAGATTTGCTATTCAAGAGATTGAAGGTACATTTGTACTAACCAAAATATTTTTGTAGTTTTACTTTGCTCCACCAGAAATTGTACTTTTTCAAGAACACTGAACTTTATACATGTATTGTAGTGTTTCGATCCATGTTTTGACTGAAGCATGTAGGCTGGTATTGATGGTTATCGGAAAGTCGATTGGTTAAGATTAATTGTCAACAAGATGTTTGTGGGAGAAACTATTTGTTGTACTCATTACAAGTACTTGGAATTTTTTCCAAGATAAAAAAAAGATAAAAATAAATTGTCCATTTGACAGTTGAAACCTGAATCTTGTGTTGATTTTTCTTGCACGAAATTTAATGTAACTTTAAGAATACTAGTATGCTGTTCCAGTAAGCCTAACACTACCTTTAGAATGACTATAAGGCCAGACCATTTGATGAATATTATCTGTCTAACATAATATGCGTGTCACTGACGACCTGCAAGGTCTGACTTTCCTAAATCATATCCAGTTGCTTGAGTAACTGTTTTTGGCGTATCTTATTGCCTGGATGTCTAACCTTTATCGACGTTTGCCTAACATGCACAAAAGCATGCCAATTTAGGCCATGTTGATTTGATTATATGGATGACATCCGCGCGCGCATGAATTTTCGGCCGTTTCCAAAAAAAAAAGTTTTCAACCATACTGTAAATCATGCAAAACAGTTGCTAAATGAGCAAAAATATACCATAAGTTGCAAGGAAAACATTTAGAAACGATACCAATGTCGTAGAATGCCAAAATCAAAGGAAAAAAGACAAAAATGTAAAGAAATGAATTCGAAGAGTAGATTATTCGCCATAACATATTCTGTGCCATTTGTTCAACCTTCATGACCACGTAGATTTCATAGTGAAAGCTAACTTTTTTTTTTTGCTAAAACTTTTTTTTTTTATTCGCACGCGCACATCAGTTTTGGGGTTCCCAGAGGATGTCATCCATATAATCAAATCAACATGGCCTTACCTCCAAACATCCTTGGGTTTCATGTGTACATGGATTCGTCGTCATACATGGATTAAAAGCGACACTCATCAAACATTGTCGGTACTGCAGAGGGTAAAGCCTCTATAGGCTGCTCCTTTCTGCAATAAAACTTCGAACGCTAGGTGTCTCTATTGAGTTGGCCTTGAGTACAACAAAACATGTTGGGCGTCCTCCCCCATTGCATAACGTATACGTATGAAGTTATTATTGCCCAAAATATATTTTAAACACATTACAAAATAGAAAGGTAACATTTGCAAAGCAAAAGCACAATGTTAACCCTCAGGGTTCACATGGTCAAGCCTAACAAACTACTGCTCTGTTTATTCTTAACTCAAGGACATTCCTATATATGGTGACCAGCCTCCCAAATTCTGTCCTGCAACTTGCTACATAATAATGTAACCCAACACCACAAGGTATCTGCTACATATGTACAGCACCGGTTACTACGGTAACAGACGCCTGGTCCAGGTCATTGTCCTATATGTGCTTGGAGAAGAAACTAGAAAAACAATGTACAGAGGAAAACATAGTAATAAATCAGACTACGGCCGGCTGGCCACACAAAGGTCAACAAATAGACTTTATTGCGGATTCAAACAACAGCATTTCAAATCTCTGACAATAGATACCTACAGAAAATCATAGTTCCTCACACATAATACAGTAGTAATAAACACCAAGACTAGTAAAACTACATCTAAAACAATTATAAGTACAAATATTTTACATCATAGACGATGAAAGGAAAAATACCGTCCAAGTTCTTTCTTGCTTCTTCTTAAGATATTATTTGGCACTAACAAATTCCATTTTTGCAGCAGCTCCGGCCCTTAACACAAAATCGTATAAGACAAGACTCTTACATGTATCTTTGATTTGAAAACGGAAAAAAAGTATTTGCACAAGTTAGGAAGAAGTGCTGATCTTAAATGCGTCACAATATTTTCAGAAAACTTCACAATACCACAAGCTCAAACATTTCACCTAGAAATCAGGTGAATTTTCAAGCTTAAAATGATACTAACAAAAAAACGACTATAGTTAAAATGTATATATATACTTTTGTTGCCCTTATATTAATTATTATGTAGTGATCAAGCCTTCTTTGCTTGTATTTATGATTCTTTGAAACAATTTTTGTTATGCTTGATTGAATTGATTTATTTACAAATTCTGAATGCAAAGACATTGCTTTATTCTTTACTCAGTCGTCTTTTCATCCCTTTCTCTTTTGAAATGCACTTCGTTGGCTGAAAGCAAAGTTCAATTTAAGTTTAAGCCAATTGCATTGGACAAGTTTTAAGGCACTCTTAAATTGTTATCATGTCTATCTATACAGCACAGACACACAAGCACACAAGAAACACATCGAACTTACTGGTTCTTTGTACTTTAAGAGGTCATTACTTGTTCACTCCTAGCGTAATATTGCCACAAATGCACTTTATGAAAGTAGGATATTTTCCAAGTAGATGTACGGTATTGGTTCGTTCTGTAAGTTACTAAGTCATAGCCATTTTAACAGACTAAAAAGGCTGGCATTAAACAGGCTACGTATGTACGTGATGCGTCTAGTGTAAAAGAAGCATCTTTTCAAAAATGGTCAAAAAACAACAGTAATGTATAATCTAAGAAATGAGAACCGACACCGCACATCTACTTGGAGATGGAACGAACCATTCTGCTCAGTCGGAGGGGTCCCGACAGTGAGAACAGTCCCTCATTTCCTCCTGGTAAAGCTCGATCTGAATCGTCGACGAATGCACGTCGAATCTGCTGCGCACCAAACGGGAGGCTATGTCCAGCACCTCCTGTGGGTCAGCGTCAACGTCTGGAAAAGATATGTTATTATTATTAGTTACCAGTTACTATGGTGACAGCCGTCTGGTCCAGTTAAACAGAGCAAAAACAATATGTTTGCCTTCTACGAAGGTTAAGATAACCAGAAAGGTAACACTTGCAAACCAAATGCATAATGTTCACCTTCCCATATGGTCTGCTCTGTTAATTCTTACTCAAACATATTCATATATATGGTCAGACAGGAGTATAAATCCCTCCTACTATAAAATTGCAACATGTTGTAACCCAACACTAGTTACCATGGTGACAGACGTCTGGTTCAGGTCAGTGACCTTATTGGTTTGGAGAAGAAGAAGAAGAAGAAGAAGAAACTGAGCAAAAACAATATGTTTTCCTGCTGCAAAGGAATGAACTACACGGAAGCTGGCCATGTCATATGAGGGAAGAAAAATGAAACGGGAATTCTACAAATAGTACAATACATGAGACTCCAACAAACCTGGCCCTCAAATGCCAAATTTGTGGACTTCATCTCTATGCTACTTTGCCAAAAATAAAACCGTACTGACCTACGGCGATGTGTACGGCCAGCGCGTTCTTGCCCACCGTAAGGGACCAGATGTGCAGCCCGTGGACCGCGTGAACCCCGGGGATTCCCTTCAGACTCTCCTTCACTGAGTTAAAATCCAGCCCGCGGGGGGTGCCTGGAAACAGACCAAGGATAAAAGGTGTCAGGGGAACCTGGAAACAGTTCTGGTACAAGTGCGTAACACAACTTGATCCCAAAATTGACTTTTTAAAAATTCATCAAAATGCCTGCATGAAAGGCTCTTCTCCAATTTGAGACCTAAGAATATGAAGAAGAATAGAGCGAGTGTTTTTCACTCACTTTTCACACGAATCAAGCATGTACTGATTACCATGTTGGTGTCAATGTACATTTCAATAAATTGTAGTTAAAGTGTGCACGTATATCATTCGAATAAGTTTTGCTTTCTAATCTGTTATTTTTCTCTTACTGCCCTAAACATTTGGGGTTTCATGTAAAGTAATTTGACAGGGTCAAAATAATGCAAATGTCCGAAAACGCTTGATTTTCACAGCATGCAAATGATGACACCAACATGGCGGCGGGCGGTGGCCATGACGTCACGGCCATGACGTCACGTTCTATAAAGTGGACGTCCTTCTGATAGTCCCTTCTCTGATCTCTAATTCAACAGTGGTTACAAGTATTTGAGTGGTTTTATCTGCAAATGTCTGAAACTGGGCTTGACTGTCAGTACCTATATACCTATGCGCCTGAATGCAAATAAGGACACCAGCATGGCGGCTGACATAGTGATGACGTAATGTATTATTAAACGCCGTACCTTCCATGAGCACGTTGACGGTGTCCCTCAGGATGCTAAGGGTTGTGATCAGCACCAGGACAGAGAACATGAAGGTGCAGATGGGGTCCGCCAGGGCCCAGTCAGGCTGACGGGCAACAAAAACAGTTCATATAAGGACATCAGTAAATAATTTCATCAGGTTGGTGAATTATTGAAGTTCATAGTTCCTCATTCACAACGACATGTTTACCACAGTATCATCTAGCTTCAGTGCACAGTGAACCAGTAACACCTGTATATAGCTTCAATGCACAGTGAACCAGTAACACCTAGCTCCAGTGCACAGTGAAATTTGCTGCCATACATTGTACCCTGTACAACTTTCGAGCAATATTATCAACTTCATTCATTCATATGAGCTTGTTTTTACTTTGTAAGGTATAAGAGCGTTGATTTCGAAGTACCTACCCTGAAGTAGATGATGATCGCAGCTATGAGCACGCCGAGGCTCTGCACGAAGTCGCCGACCACGTGGATGAACGCCGCCCGCACGTTCACATTCTCCTTCCCGCGGCTCGGCTCGCCCACTCCCGTGTCCTCCTTCCCCAGCAGCTCGGCGTGCGATTCTCCCCGCTGGTAGCCCTGCCCCTCCGCCGCGCCTGTCCGCGCGCTACCATTACCCATGGCGGTCCCCTCCTCGCACGCGCGAATCCCGCCGTAGTTGTTGGGGATGCCGTTACTTTGGCAGCTTTTCGTCAGCTTCTGACTCTCGTCGCATTCCTCCAAGTGTGTGTGACCTTGACCTTTCTCCGAGTGCTCCTGACCTTCGTGATTAATTGACGTGTGACCCCCGTGACTGTGACCGTGACCTGTTGACATTTGACCCACGTGGTTATGTGTGCCGTGAACTGTTGATGTTTGACCTCCGTGGCTGTGACCGTGACCTTTGTCCCCGTGACTGTGACCGTAACCTTTGTCCCCGTGACCTTTGTCCCCGTGACTGTGACCGTGACCTTTGCCCCCGTGGCTGTGCCCATGACCGCTGAACCCGTGACTGTGACCGTGACCCCACTGATGAAGTATGAAGCCCATTCTGTAGTAGGCACAAAGTAAATGCATTGTCACTAAACATCAAGTAATAACTGGGACGGGGGGCGCCACAGACTTCCCTCTGCTTGATCCACGTCACGAAAAAAAGATTTGGTCAGCATTTCAGATCTATAGAAAGGCCATGCGGTATGCTTCTACGATAAACAATCCCTGTAAGATCATTATCAACTTTCCCAATCTTGAAGCAGATCCGACGGTGGATCGCAGGTTCTGCTTGGAGATTACAATTTTTCTGTACTTACACCAGATTAACCGCCACCCCGCAGGAGGCCGTGATGAGCATGATTTTGGCGTCGATGTCCATGTCTCTGTGGATGACCCTCAGCACGGCGTTATACACCAGGATCCCCGTCACTACCCAGATCAGCAACACGGACACAAGCGCGCCCATAACCTCTGGTTCAAGTAAACATAAACAATAATAATAAATAATAAACAAACAAATATCAAAACAAGCACCGACGTCAACATTAGTGATCCAAGTTGATGTAAAATAAAACAAGTTGATGTAAAATAAAAAGATTCAATAAAAACTAATTGTAAAAGGTGAAAAAAACCTAAACGTAAACAAAATAACAAAAAAACAAATATCAAAACAAGCACCGACGTCAACATCAGTGGCCCTCTGGAACAGATAGACGTAAAATTAACAATAACAATGACAGAAACAACAGCACCAGTTGCCATGGTGACAGCCGTCTGGTCCTAGTCATTGACCTTATGTGTTTGTAGAAGAAGAAGAAGAAGAAGAGAGAAAAGGAGAAGAAGCAAAACCAATATGCTTTCCCTTCCTCTGAGATCGTAAATCTTAAGATCCCGTGGAGACCAATCTCAACTTACCTGCCCGGTAGTATCCGAAGTTCATGCTCTTGGTGGCTGGCCGAGTCGCTACCCAAATGGCGAACAGGCTGATCATGAAGCTGGCGAAATCCGTCATCATGTGAGCAGCGTCTGTCATGATGGCCAGGCTGCCGGCAAGGTACCCACCTGTCAATCAAACATGCAAATTAGTGACGTCATCATGTGGGCGATGTCCGCATTGGTCAGGAGTGACTAATGCGGAAATCCCTTTCCTCCTGTGACTTAGAGGAGTCTAAGACACAGGAGGAAAAGGATGCACACATGTCACATGACCTATCATGACTACTAGTATCACGTGTCCATCACGTGACCATCACGTGACTTACCGACCACCTCGGCCACCGTGAAGATGAGGCTGAGGATGCACACATGTCACATGACCTATCATGACTACTAGTATCACGTGTCCATCACGTGACCATCACGTGGCTTACCGACCAACTCGGCCACCATGAAGATGAGGCAGAGGATGCACACATCACGTGACCAATTGTGATATATCACGTGATTATCACGCGCCTATCACGTGACTTACCGACGACCTCGGCCACCATGAAGATGAGGCAGAGGATGCTGGCCATGATGAGTTTTTCCTGGCGGTCGGGTCGACGGGCCGGCTCTCCCCGGTGTCGTGGCAGTGCGACCGGTAGCTCCTGCCCAGCAGGTACTCTTCCTGCGAACACAGTCAGGTGAAACACAAGGAAAATGTAACTAAAGCAGCTTGATAGATCTAGAAAACTGTCAGTAGTATACTCTCCTTTTTAGAAAAGTAGTAGTCCACTGGATCATGGAATATGCCAGCACCCGTCGCTGGCTTTTAGATGTCATTTATTTTCTGTGTGAGGTAAACCTCATTTTCCTCCCAGTAGAGAAATCAGAAGGGGTAAAAGTTCTTTCCCAAATACAATGACATCACATACTTGTACTATACCAGAAAAGTTTCCGTTCTTACAGTCACAGAGATATACTCGTATATATCCCCAACATACATTGAAGATATCAGACCATTGCTTTACTGCTCCACACACCCTCCCTAGATAACTAACGGTCTGTCCCTGACACGTACCTCGTCATCATCATTAGTGGACGTGTCCGTGATGAAGGGTGTGCATCCGCCCGGTCTGACGTCACCGCCCCTGCGGCACAAGAATACGATTGTCAGAGCGCGTTCTATACTACTCATATAGCCCTGGCCGCTCTGGATCATCTCCAAGCAGAAGTCGCGATAAGGGAAAAATCGTACTTTTTTGGCGACGCTTTAGGAGCGGAGCTTTTTGTTACAGCATTAGGCTAGGTTTGAAGATGTTATAATGCTGACCTAGCTTCTACCAGGCTTCGGGAAACGACCAGAAAGAGTACAAATCGGCCAAAAAAATACCTTTCTCGGTGAAAACTAAAACTATTCGGCTGCTCAAAACTCTCCACACCCCTAATAATGTAAGGAATGGAACGGTCCTATACAAACATCAGTACGGAAGCCATGGGAATGTAACATTTGGGCGGCACTTTGGGGGTCCATAAAAGCCACTAGTCTTTAGTACAAATGGCTCTTAACGACGGATATCTTACCACAAGTACCGACATGATGTTGCCGTGACAAAACTTAGTAAAGAAAACCAAAATCCGGGGCTGAACAACTGGCAGTTGCCATATATCAGCAGGTAGAAATGCGAATCTTGTGAGTACGAATCTGAAGCCACGTTTATCCCAGTACTAATACAGTGGATTTGATATTTTATTTTGTCAAGATCTTTACCACTAATTCATTAAGAACTTTTGGCAATATTCCTTGCTAAATGTATGCAAAATATCATGGAAAACTGTTCTTTTTACAGCGAATGTTTTCGAAGCGGAGAGTTGATGACGGCAAACACACGCAACCGTAAGGACAACAGAGAACCGCATACACACGCAACCGCTCGGGCGCGTCGAAGGCATTCCGGACATGCGCACATGGTGGCAACAATACATTTATGTTTTCGTTCTTCATTGATCGCTATCTTTGTGTCAACGTATTTAACACCAAAAGACCCGGACTGGTTGGTGTTTATGTTTGTATTCACGTCTACTGGCGTTTTTTTTTTTCAAAAATGACGCCAAACTTAATTTACGGAAACAACATCATTGTACTAAGTGTAATGATGTTGTCCGTAAATTTACTTTGGCAGCTTGTTTTTATATATTGTTATGGAGAAAAATGAATTTATTCAGTGTTTTCACACCAACTTCACCATGACCTGCAAGTTTTGTAGGATCTGGATGTTATCCAAGTAGAGGTATAGGCTTTGTGTTGTTTTTGGCGTGTTTTATGCGCTTTTATCGGTCTGTCTTTTTCGTACTGGTAACTTTATTTCATTTGGCGTGGCCTGGGTGCCATTTGTTTTATAACGGGGCTGATTGCACTCGCTAACTCAAAAAACGGATGGCTTCCAGCCTTTAAAAAAAGATAGAAGAAAGTACAAAAATAAGAAAGCCCGATAAAAACGCCTGAAAGCACATCAAAAATAAGCTGAAGCCTAAACACCGAGTTGGAGAATAGAAAAAACAGCGTTTTTCCATTGATAAAACCGTTTTGTGTTAATTTCGACAAAGTAAACAGTAAATGCTACGCGAAGTCACTAAATTCCGTCAACACACGACGCCCCCAGCCCCGTCAGGGCGAAACGTTATTGACGCAACAAAAAGTGCCTCGACTTTCGTCAGGTCAGATACAAAATACAAAATAGTGATACAAAAGACGCCAGGGAACACAGATTTTGTTTCAAAAACAACTTGTGACGTCAACAAGCGATTAGCTAATATACTGTCAACATCCGAATCATATCACGAGAGTTGGCTAGCTCTCAGAACATAGTTCACTTCCACCCGCGTGCTTTGATATGATGAGCATCAAGATATAACGTTATGTCATACAGAATAATAGAATAGAAAACAAAACAGACTTCAAACAAGCCTTAAAATCTGACCTCAGACCCCTCTGACCAAAACAAGCAATGACCTACATGTATAGCTAGTATTTTATTTTGCAAACGGATTGATTTTGTTGTTTGTTTTGTTCTATTTATTTGATTTACGTATGTGACAGGCTCTGTAATTCTGATTTTGAGTTGATATTGTTCAACGTATTTTGAATTGCTAAGATTAAGTATTACTCCTATGTTCAATTTTGTGTTTTATGTTGTACAATTGTAACGTTTTGTTGATTCATCTGTTGGATGTGGAGCCAGGGCCCCCTTGGAAATCCGTTGTTTATCAACTGAAGGGGCGACCCTCAAGATTGATAAATAAAATAAAAACAGCGTCAAGATATAGGCCATACAAAATAATAGAATAGCAAACAAAACAGTCTCTTGAATTGGATGATAAACTAGCATTATGCAATGTTTATCTCTATAACATTCAATAATCCAAAGAATATGTCAATAATAATAGAACTCCTACAAGCCCAATTTAAGGTTCTACGAGTCCGATTTTGTGGCAGCTGCCCAACAAATTACAAGAAAGCTGATATGCCATGTAAGAAAAAAGTACATTATAAGCCCAAAAGCGTAGCCACCTGGCCAACAAAAGACTACGAAGGATAGTGATGATAGGCATAGATTGTTCTCTAAATTCCAGGTGTTATTTATGAACCCCGCATTTGACAAGTACTAAGTTACTTGTACACGCCCATTTAACGCGATAGCTGGAGTCTATACGCCATAGTTCCATGAAATCCATTCACGAATTGAACCGACCATGCAGGTCAATTCACAGGGTGGGGTTGCGACAAAGCTTAAGATTTTACTAAGTATTGACGTCAAAAGGAACAAAACCGTGCGAATAGCGTATACGTAACAGAAATGTTATTGACATAACTTAGCAAGTCGCTGTCTTTTTCTGTTCCACCGAATCCCCCGATCTTTAAAGGCAACATTGCCCCCCCCCCTCCATCTCCAAAGCCATGGTGTTGAAATCAAAAAGAAAAGAAGGAAAGCAAAAAAGAAGACAATGTTAACATGCCTTGCCTAGCGTTAAAAATAGCACTAACAAATTCTGCCCTTGTAGGCGCGTATTGACTTGTGTGATAGCAACTACGCGTTGAAATAAGGTATAAATCATTCAGGTTTGAATTTAATGTGTGAGGCTTAATGTTTAGCTTAATCAGTTATAGAATAGCTGGCCTCCGAGGACAATAGTCTAATTAAAATAGACTAAATCAGGCTGCTGAAACATAGCAGGAATTGATAATGTAATAGACTAGGTCATTAGCCAGAGGCTCGGCCGAGTTCCAAATGTACATATCAGTTGGTCGGCTTATATCCTCATGCCATTCTACCTATCTGATAAAGACTACAGAGACCAAGCTTAAGTGTAGCCTGGAGTCAATCCAACGCAGCCTAAAGAGTCTGTTCGAGACTACAAAAGGATCCCAAGAGGGAGCGTTAAACTGTTAAACTGTTGTGGCTTGGGCCGTTACGTTTGACTGCGGTCTTTTCAACGCCCGTTATGTTTGACTGCGGTCTTTTCAACGTCACTAGTCGCCTTGCTCTGCTAACAGTTAGTAGAGTTACTGGCCATGGGTCGGTACGGCTACGCAGTTTGGTCTGGAAGGAAGCGACGGCATGCACAGGCCTAGGATTATCTTGAGAAGGAAGGATGCCTTCTAGGATTGTCTTAAAGATTTAACACCCCAACGGTGCTTAAGGCGAGTAGTCGTGCGGAGAACATGTGAGGGTGGGGCGTATTTAACTAGGGGATATTCTATGCTAAGTGGTCCATGTTTAATAGCCTACACCAGGTCTTCCTGAGGGGGTTAGGGTGGTAGAAATTGGCAAAAATAGTGCCTGGTTGACCAGGGAAGTGGGTCCATCGTTAGGGTTTTATTTCCCCTACATTTTACTGTTTTTAAACAGTTCTTGTACGGTGGGGTCTTGTGCCGTAGCGGCAGAGTGCGCGACTCGGAATCAAGAGGTCCCGGGTTCGAGTCATGACATGCCACCGATCTTGTGCCCTTGGGAAAGGCACTTTACACGACTTTTCTCACTTCGCTTAGGTGAAAATGAGTACTGGTATTGTATTGCCCCCCTGTGTTGGTGGCGGCATTAATATAAGTTGAGAAAAATTGAGTGTGCCGTCACCACGTTTTGTGATTAGATGTTAATAATATAAAAAAACAGGTCTTGTGCTACTCTAATAACCCAGTAAGTCTATCTTAAATAAAACCTACGTAAGAACGTTTCAAATTAAAGGAATCAGGTTTTACAAGTGCCTTCATAACGTTCTATTGTATCCCTGTATGTCACCGTTAAAGGTTCAATTCAGCTTAAGAAGAATGAAAATATTTCTTCAGTTTTCTTAAGAATTCAACCATGTAAACGGTACGAAATGGCTGAATGTTACAGAGGATACACTTGAGAAGTTGTTTAAGGCATTGCCGCGGTGTGTGGAAACATTTTTACGTTTCATTTAAAGTTGCGTGTATAAAGAAGTGTTAACTGCATCAAATCGGCTTCTTTAAATAGTAATAACCGACAGTAAGGCGATTTGCTATACAACTAGCTGGAACAGGATTTTTTTGTAAATCGCAATCGTGTAGTAGGTTTAATCTGCCATTCTTAATGGCAAGAAAACCGCTCAATAAAAACAACAAACAAACGCAAAGAAATGTCCGCAGTTTTTCTACAAAAGATCGCCACATAACGCTACTGTTGTTACAGCGCTCTTTATCTTTCCGGTATGCAAAAATACACAATACTGCGTTTTATAAAAGGCCACACCAAACTGGTGGACAGAAGAACACAAAACGAGAAGGGGAGAGAGAGACATACCGAGCACCGAAAACTGCGTGTTATGCCACCAAAAAAGCCCGGCTCAATGAGTAGGATTCAAAATCCTACCTATCTGTATCTGTATAGCTTCTGTATCTATATAGCTGGTATAACCGCTCTTTGGCGTAACACACCAGCTTCGCAGGCACGCGGCTCGGCGGCAGCTGGCTACATTACACCGAACGACCTCTAAACGTTGTTTAAAGCTATCTAGTGATGGTGCCCCTACTGTACTTGGTGGCAGCGAGTTCCACTCCACGATAGTTCATGGGAAGAACAGGTTTTTTAATTCCTCAATCAGTCAGTACAAAATGAATCGATAACAC